ACGGCGCTGTGGCTGGAAGCAGATTTAGAATCAGGGTCGGGAGACACAATCCGGCACAGGGTTCGGATCCGAAAGGCAGAACGCATTCCACGATCCAGTGGTCTCGATGCGGTCGGCGCGGAGTTCCGAAGGCGAGTGGACATCCGGGAGCGCGCAGTCCGCCATGGTCCAGGACAGTCGTAGTGAAGAAGGCGATGAAAACATCAACCGCGACATCGAAGCAGCGGCGCACCAGGAGCCTTGCGGAACCTTAGCCCGCTGGTCCAATCCTGCCAGCCACACCCCGTAGCTCCAGTTCGGCCTCCTCCGGGTCTCAGGTCACACGAAAGCTCTCGGACAACTTCGATCACTGCGAGAGCCCGCCGAGTCGGACGCTGACGCCTCTCCAGTTTCTGAGGAAGATGTTGCTGGACCTGAGCGTCTCGAGTCCCCCTCCAAGGTTGCTCGCCACAGAGCCTGTTGGAGCTGAGCGTCGTTCAGAGTCACCAATTGGCAGCATTCTGGAGATGGTCCGACGGGGAAGACAGCTTGCTTCTGGCTCTGACCCACTTGGAGATGGAGAACCCCCACCTCGAGACACTGGAGAACCTGCTGACCTTGACGAAGACCTCAATGCCTGGACCTACGTGGCAACGACAAGATCTTCTGAAGGACCGCAGCTTGGAGGCAAACTTTGAGGAGTCGTGTGGAGTGGAAGGCCATTCTTCAGACGCCACGTGGTCGTACCGTATTTTCCGCCGCTTTTCAGGACTCTTCTGGATCAGTGCAGGTCACGGACTGGGCGTCCGCGAAACCAACGAATTGCTTCAGAAGGAGCGACGGAACTCCCGACTGCACCCGAGGACGAGGCCGGAGGCCTCGATGCCCCTGGCCCTTGCGCTGGAGCTCGGCTAACCAGGGACTTCAAGGCCGACTTCGGCACAAAATGCACCCAAGTCATCACATCCACTTTCATTCGACTAGGGAACACCAGCGCAGCCTGCGCAGCGCTTGGCAGTCCGCGTCACCTCCAAGCCCAACTCTTGACATAATGTCTCGGACATGGAGCCTTGGTTCCCAAGCAGTCCAAGAGAGTCGAAGGCTGCATGCCAAGTGGTCGTCGGCAAGACAGCGCCAATCGCGGCACAGATGATGCGCAGCCATTCCTCCTGGGTCACAATGCCCATTGGCAGCCGAGCTTTTTGCTCTCTCCATGTGCGACGAAATGCAGCCTTAAAGCGACTGAACAAAGCAGTGTCTGCTGGTTGCAGCCACCTCGTCATCTTGGCCGGGACAAAGCACATACGAAGTGACAGCCGCCTCGCATGCAATAGTATGGAATGGTCTATGTGCGCTCTATTGACATCAACAAGGACGACAACCGTCCGCTCAGCCACCGTCTCGCCCAGGCACCGTGCCAAAAGGGTGAGGTACCGTCGCATAATGGCGTGAGTCGTCCAGCCAGATTTTTCTCGCCAGATGTAGATGTTGGCCGGAAGCGTACCTGAAGCTTGCAAGCGGCCCAGAACTCGAAGGCTGACCTGATGCTCATTTGCCAAGAGAATTTGCGGCAGCTTGCCGTGCACAGCACTGTCGTGGCAGATGCTTGCCAGAAACGAGACGCTGCCACGACGGTCTGCGAGTGTCGCTTGCTCCCGCCGCGGCTTGCACGCCGGACCTTTCAAGACAGTTCCCCAGAGCCCTGTAGGATGCCGAACCACCGAGGTCTCGTCCATGTTCACCACCAGCACGGGCGCAGCGGCGCCACGCCAAATTGCATTCATCCACTGGTGAAAAACGGTTGCCTGCGCAGCGAGCGAATCTTCCTTTTGAAGACTTAGTTTTCGGGCGTGTTAAACGAGACTGAAAAACAGCGCACTCTTGAGTACGAGAAAGGCAACACTTAAAGCAGTCTTGCCAAGCGAGCCTAGATCCTGTGCTGCAGATGAGCCCATTTCTCCGTCTTTCCCCTGCCCCAGAGTCTAAAGCTGAAGCTCATAAGCTGAAACCATCCCTGTGACAAGCGGGCACAGACGTAAAGAAAACCCCCTCGCTCTACTGCGAACCCGTCACACACTACACAATGATTCTCCAGACAACGCGCAAGTAGCGAACCAATTCCAGCCGGCCTTCTGGCGGCGTTCCGCAACGTCAATGCCATCTTCTGCGCGCAGGTACCCATACCTTGCGTTCCATCTGCGGCGAAAGGCCGCCAAGTACTTCCGCTCCTTCCGCGGCGTACCGTGTACCAAGACGCCAAGGCGCTCTTTCACACACAGCGGCGCTGTAGCTGGTATGGAAGTCAGAGCCACGTCTACCATCTGCGCACGAGAGGGCGCAACACCGTGCTCTGTATTCTGCACCTCCACGTAAGCCACAAGACGGTGTTCGAGAACATACTGTGCCGCGCAATAGACATCCCGCTGGCCAACCATCTTGAACGGCTCCAATTCCAAATCCACAAGAACCGACGTGGGCATGCGAATGTAAGCCCATTCGACCGCAGCAAGCTGCTCCTCAGTAGCTGCAGCAGCCGATGCTCCGGGTCGCCAACCCCTGCCAGAAGCGAAGTCAGCTGCCGTGTCGGAGCAGTGACCACTGAAAATGTAAACGAGCATGCACATCAAGCTGTCCGGAGCGCAACGCCAGCCCCCATCCGCGGCGCCTTCAACCTCCGTAGGCGCCGACACGGCGGCACGTCGGCAGCGCTGGGCCAAGTTCTTGATTTCGCGGGACAGCTCCCTGAGCCTCTCGGGACCAGTAGGCGACGGCATGGCTTCAAATGCTCCCGCGTCTGTTGCGCATAACTCTAAAGTTTACCTTTCTGACAAATCCGCGCCTGTGGTTTGCTAGACACAGGTCTGCTACGCTTGTTACGCCGAGTTCGCTGGAGCTATGGTCAGTGCGCCTTGGCACTGTAGACAGTGACCATGCTTTGCTCTTTCACTACGCCCAGAAAGTGTCAGGCTTTGGCACGGCTGCCCCCAGAACACCAATCTGCAACAACATCAGCATCTATCGGGGAGGCCCCCCCCACCAAGGCTGTTCGGGACAAGCCAAACCGACACCAAAAAGAAGCACCCATAAT